GGAGCACAAGTTGAGGGCTGGGAAGAAAATGCTGTCTTCAGAAGTAGGACCATCAAGTGGGTGTACACTGTGTTCCCCAATCAGCAGGAGTGCTTCTTTCTGCATATGCTGCTGCACACTGTCCTACATTATTCACAGACCTGCAAAGAAGTCTGTATGAGCTACAGACATGGCTGTGCCAAACATGGACTACTGGAGGATGATGTTCACTGATACCAGACACTGGAGGAGGCTGCAGTCAGAAGAGCACCAAGTCAACTGCAGCAGCTATTTTACATCATGCTGATGGCATGTGGCTTGGGTGAGCTTCTCAAGTTTTGGCCAATGCACAAAACCAGCATGGCAGAAGACATCCTATGAAGGATTCAAAGGCAAACCTCAGCGGAAACTGACACGTTCAATGATACCATTTACAATGAGGCATTAGTTGACCTGGACACCCCAGTGCAAGCTATTGGAGGCCAAGGAATTGCCACATTTGGCCTGAGTAAACAATCTCGCAATTGAGTACATGCGGGAGATCAGCTATGGCACTGAGGAAATGATGGCATATATAGCTGATAATGAACACAAACTGAGGGAGGACTATGGGTGTTTATTACATGATTATTTTGAGCATTAAATGTGAAAGAAAAAATCTGTTCTTCCTTGATGCCCCAGGTCGAACTGGTAAGACATTTATCATCAACCTACTTCTGGCTAAACTGCACCAAATGAAACATATTGCTCTAGCAGTGGTGTCAAGTGGAATAGCTGCAACTCTGCTAAATGTGGGGCTGCATAGCTCATTCATACTTCAAACTCCCTTTGGACCTGTCCAAAAAAGAGAAGGCAACTTGCAACATCAAATATGGTTATATAAAAGGTAAACTCCTCAGTGATTGAAAATTGATCATTTGGGATGAGGTGAAAATGAGCCATAAGAGTTCCTTTGAAGTCCTGACATGGCATTTCAGGTTCTTAGACACAACACACCATGGGAGAGTCAACAGTCTTGTTTGCGTGTGACTTTAGACAAACCCTTCCAGTGATTCCAAAATGGACAAGAGCTGACAAGGTAAATGTCAGTATAAAGTCTTCCTACCTGTAGAACACTGTGAAAAACTGAGACTCACAACCAACATGAGAGTGCAGCTCAGTCGTGATGAGGAGGCTGGTACTTTTTCTAAGCAACTATTGGATGTTGGTAATGGCACTTTGATTGGATGTTGGTAATGGCACTTTGATTGGTGAACAGGATGGCTGAGTCAGTTTGCCTTTTGGACGTATGGTATCTGATTTAAAGGAACTAATGACTAGAGTATTTCCTAACCTGAGGAATCAGTTTACAGACCATAACTGGCTGAGAACCTGTGCCATTTTAGCTCCAAAGAAAGTGGGGATTGATGATTTGAACTTTTGGAACAGTTTCCAGGTGAGCATCATAATTACAATTCCATTGATGCCGTACTAATGTCAATGAAGCTGTGAATTATCCAGTTGAATTTTTGAATAGCCTAACACCAGCAGGACTACCACATCACAATTTTCACCTCAAGATTGGAGCACCAGTGATGCTGCTAAGAAACCTGGATCCACTGAAGCTTTGCAATGGCACACAACTTACAATTAAGAAGATGATGCCAACCGTGTTGGAGGCAACAATTCTGACTGGCAAAGAAAGTGATGAGGTTATATTTATTCCTAAAATTCCACTAATTCCCTTGGATATGCCTATCCAGTTCAAGAGGCTGCAATTCCTGGTGAAACTGAGTTTTGCAATCAGCATTAACAAAGCTCAAGAGCAGTCCTTAGATGAGGTAGGCCAAAAATGTTGTTTATCAAGAGGCTTTGCAAACTTGATAAGAAACAACCAATCATCAGGTGTTTATGATTTAACTGTACTATTTGTCAGTGTTGTAAATCTTTTGTTAATGTATATGTCATTCTATTTATAAATCTATTTGCAGATCTATTGTGAAACTATATGACAGTCTATTTGTACATTTATTGTAAATTTATTTTAACACTAGCCTAAGGGCTATATTTTCAGTGAACACACAAAAGCCCTTTTCAGTGCTACTTACCTTGAATTATTATTTTCGGATAACTGATTTGCCTGTTATTACGTAAGTTGTTTTACTATTTTGGTATTCATAATTTATTTGTTTTTCCTCCAAAAATCCTAGTGGTGACAGTTGAGTCTTCTCTTTGAATGCACAAGAGCCCTTTTCAGTGATGCTTACTTTGAATTATTACTTTTGAATAAGAGAAGATGGGATATGAGAATAGGAACAGGGGATAACAAGGGATCCATTTTCCTGGCAACTACCAGGTACATCAGCTAGTTCTCTATAAAACAATGTGTCAGAAGAGGAAACCATTTTTGACCAGTTAATTATGATTTTATAACACTTATTTTATAACTGTGAGGATATTCAGTTTTATAATTAAGAAAACATAGATTTGTATTTGTGGATAAAGTGATAAAAATCATCATTTTTAGCATCTACTAAAATGTCAAAAAAAGAGATTCTATTTTTAATGTCGTGTCCATAAGTGAATTGTAGAAGAGAGTTACTTTCAAATGTTTCTTTAAGGGTTTTTAATTCATTTATGTTTTCCATTAATGTGAAAATGTCAATATATTGGGCATGTGTTGAAATTGTCTTGTTGAAATTATTGAAGATTTTGTTTTTTACATATGTGTATATGTTATATATATATATATATACTGCTGTGCAATATGTTTGGGGCACCTTGTTAAATTCATTACTTTTGTTAATTTTACCCCAAAATCAATAGTGATTAGCAATATGCTTTTCTCAGTATATTTTATGATCTTTGAATTACTGCATTTTCTTAAATTAAAAAGGATTTTTTTTTCTTTTTTTTTTTTTTTTTTTTTTTTGCGAAAAGTGATCTTTATTATTCCTGAAAGTAAAATTTCTCAAAGTTTGGAGTTAGCACTTAGTGTTGTTGCCTTTGGTTTGATTAATTGCTTCATTTCAATGTGGTATTGAATGGAACATGGTCCACATTTTCTCATTGGGAATTTTTTTCTCATTCTTCTTGGTAACAATCCCAAAGTTCCTAGAGACTGCATGGTTTTTGTTGGAGTACTTGTTTCCCACCACAATGGTTCAATTATACTGAGATCAGGACTTTGTGCTAACCAGTCTTCCAAAAGTTTAACACCTCCAAGAATTTGGCAAGAAACCCTCTCATACTGTCTTCTGGTTTTCTTTGCACTTCCAGTAATAGCAAACATATTTTGGGTGGTTTGAACAGTTTCTAGAAATTCCCAGTTGTCTGGCTATCTTTCATTGAGTCATCTTCTTCAAAATCACAATCTTCATCTTTGTTTTAGCAAATATTTTAGCCATGATTTTAGAGAAGAAAAGCAAATTAATGTTCAAATAAAATGACATGCCAAGGCACCTTACACTAATGTTAATAAGATGGAACAATTTTTACTTTTTTCAGATACAAGATGCATAAAGCTATATATCTTCTGTTAGTTGAGAAATTACTGTTAGGATTAAGCTTTCAAAAAGGGTTATTAACAACAATTATTTATCAAACACATAAGAATATGGAGCCAGGAAAAGAGCCGGAAGAAGCAAGTAGTTAAGTGACAGGGATGTCAGAGCGATCAAAAAAGAAGCAAGCAATATCATCTAAGTTCAGTTATGGCAAGCTTATGAATGCTCCATGTTTGACCGAGCACCATATGTCAGAGTGTTTCAACTGGGCCAAAGCTCATATGACTTGGGACAAGCAATGGGAAAGTGTGGCATTTTCTGATGAAAAAAAATTTAATTTGGACAGTCCAGGTAGGCATGACCTTAGAAAGAAGTTGGCCTTTTCCAAGTGTGTGCAAGGAGGAGGGAGCATTATGATTTGGGTGGCATTTGGATTTAAAGGTAAAACTCCAACTGTTTCCATTAACACAAGACTTGATGCTTTGGGTTATCAGAATTTGTTGTCTACTGCTCTCTTGTCTTATGGGAAAAAATCGGTGGTTGAAATTGTGTGTTTCAGCAAGACAATGCTCCTGTTTATAAAGCCAAGTCCACTATGGAGTGGTTTCAAGCTAACCGAATCAATGTTATGGATTGGCTCACCAGATCACCTGATCTCAGTCCTATCGAGAACTTTGTGGGGGTATTGGTTAGACAAGAATACAAGAATGGGCATCAATTTAATACCAAGGAAGAGCTCAAAAGTAAAATATTGAAAGCCTGGGATTCAATTAACCAAAACGACACTCAGAAGTTAATCTATTCTATGAAAAATAGAGTGCTTGAAATAATAACCAATCACGGAAAACAAATTAAATATTAATTTCTATAAATTTTTCGCATTCGTCATTTTGTAATAAAAATTTTTTAATTATGCAGCAATCATTTTTCGGGTTTTGGAATAATTTTACAGTAACTGATTTTCTATTCATAGTAATTATTTGAAACTTTCAGATTATTAATACTATATAATAATATATAAAATATTAAAAAATTAGCTCACTTGCTAAAGTTTAAAGATAAAATTCAGTTGGCCTTATTATTAGTAATTATACACCGCACTGTATATACAATCTGTGTCCATGAGTATTTTTGGTCAACCATTTCATCCTGTTACATTTAGATGTAAGTTTCTTTTTCAGTATAGTGGCAATTAGCTTTAGTTTGACATAGGTAAAGAACACTAATACTGTGGTTATCTTGTGGTTAGTCTTGTAAACTTTAATCAGTTACTTTATTTTTAAGTGTTCTGTCTGGTGCTAAACTTTATCTTCTCCCCAAAAGAAAAATAAGTCATAAAAACCTATTCAGTATGAAGAATGTTGATATTCTAGGTTATGAATGAGGTGATGCTTAGCTTTTCACCTGGATATAAATACTGACTTCTGATGATGATAAAAAAATGTTCCATTTTCAAGTAAGCATATTGTTCAATTTAATTACAGAAACAATACTTTCAAAGGAAATGCTAAAAGAAAAATCCATAAAGGTACTCACAAGCTCCAAATGTCAATCTCTGGTCCATATTTCTCAGAAGGGTTGAAGAGTTCGGGGGCGGCATATTCTGGGGATCCGCAATGAGTTTTCATAAGGTTATCTTTAGAAAACGTATTGCTAAGACCAAAATCTGTTGGAGAAAGAAAAAGAAAACAGATTCAGTAAAAACAAAAATTAAAAAATTTAAGAATCATGGAAAAGTTATTTTTTTTAATAATATATTCAGTGGCATAAATAATATTTCTTATTAATTTAAACATTATATTTTGAATCATGAAGGAGGTGCTTCTAGCCAAGTGTGTGGGCTTCTCTGTCATGCAGAGTTGTTCACCAAAATCAAATTCACTCGAATGGCCTCATCAAACTCTCATAGACTGCTTTTTTCTTCAACATCACCTCCACTGGGTGGGTTACATGTCCAGAGTATGTCCCACTCGACTCCTGTATATCATCATGTTTGGATAACTCACCAGTGGCAAGAGGCTATACAGAGGCCCAAAACAACACTTCAAGGATCATTGAAGAGATTTCCCAGACACAGACACATCAACCCTGAGACCTGGGAAACTGTTGCTGTAAAACGGTCTTCCTGGTGTAGGACCATCTGAGGAGGGGGGGGGTGAAATTTTTCAGTCTAACTGTAAACATGACAAGAATCTATGTTATGACTATCCCAGCTGCATCAATGACACACTCACCTCTGTGACTCAAGCTCATAACTCTTCAGGAGTAGGCTGGGCCTTCACAGCCATCACTGCCACTGCCACTTATTGTTATTTTCAAAATTTTGATGAGAGAAGACTATCTTATCTTGAATAATAGTAAATGCATGAAACTGGTCAGAAAGCAGTTGTCAAAGAGATTATTCTTGTTGATATGATTTTTCTCCAAAATGCTTAATATTGAAAAATAATGCTTTTGTTCTTTATAATTAATTTATAAAGCAACAAGTTTTCTTCCAAAATAATTAAAATTTAAAAACTGAACAATATAAATGTTTCTGTTTAACAATCTGTGTCAGTTCATTCCAATATCAGTTACTTTTTATCTACTGGCTAACCCAGTGAGCTTGTTCTTACCTGTTTATTTTTACATATAGCTTATTTAGTGGCTGAAATGATACTAATAGTCAGACTTCAAATAAAGGCCAGCATTTTGAATGATGATTTACAAAGCATGACTTTCTCTTTTGGGCAAGTGCGGCTATAAAATTTTCCTTCTTCCTCATCCTTAATAAGTGCATTCTTATATTTGAAAAATATTCACTATTCATGTGATATAAATTTAATTCCATATTTACCGATTTATTTTTTATATATAAAATTTACACTTTCCAAAGAAAGAAAATTAGTCAGACATATTCTCCAAATGCAAAATTTGATATAAGCAAACAAAAAGTTGACTTTTATTTTTCAATGGAACACTTCAGAAATTTACAATAAGTTTAAAATTGATTTTTTCCATTTCAATTGTGATATGAACACTATTTCATTCTAATTTAGCTTATATGAAAATATGTAGAAAAATAAAGATTTGTATACATTTTTTGTATCATATAAAAATTTAAAAAATACAAATTCTCATTAGACAAATAGAATGGAAAATAGGAAAAAAGCTGTCATTGATATTGCAGGACATTTATGGATATTTTCTGAAAAAATTTCTAAATTTTTAAATAATGTATTCAAATAAATTTTTTAGATGTATTCCTCTTAAGACCTTGATGATAATGGATTGGTAGAGAGGAGAGTAATGTAAAACAGTAGGTGACAGAAACAACCATGTGGTCAAGAAGAAAACCTAGTTATAACTTACAACTATAAAATCTATGTCCATAAGGTAATTTTTAAAATATGAAAAATCACACTTATAGATAAACCATGATGTCTCTCTTCAATGTAATAATATTTTGGCGGATGATGAAAATTAAAAATAGTTTATCAGAAAATGATGAATGATGAAAGTTTTCCTGAAAAAACACAAAAAACACACACACACACACACACACACACACACACACACACACACACACACACACACACACACACAATAGAAGTATTTGATTGACAAACAAATTTAGTAATTTTTTTAAAATATATGCACAAAAAATGTGTATAAATAAATAGTGATATATATTAAAATCAACAACAGTCTTCTTCATTAATCAAATATATTGATAATATGTTTTCCAAAGTTACTTAGATTCTTTTTCTTGAAAACAACACTTATACATATTTTTTCTGTACCCTACATTGTCTGATAAATAAAGTAGTATAAACTAGAAATGGGAAACTAATAAGTCTAAGAGGATATTTTCACAGGTCATCATATTTTTAATTAGAGCATTTAAGGATATAATATCTGGACTTATATTTTACTACAATGCTTCATGTGGCATTAAATATCCCAGTCTTATAAATACAGTTTTTTTTAAAAAAAACACAAATATAGTCAACCCCTGTGTAATCACATTCACCACCCTCATTATTCGTGGAATTTTCCTTAGGACCTAACTAATAATTGTTTGTGGAAACACCTGCATATTCATGGAATCACAAATATTTTTTGTGATTATTTTATGGCATTTTTCATGGCAATATATATTTTTCCCACTTTTTAATGCTAAATTATTAATAACAATATAATTTACTAATTTTGTAATATAAATTTTTTGTAAATATAAATGTAAATTCAGCAAAATATCAATATAAAATAAGTTAGAGGTTTGAAAGTAGCCAATCTGAGAGCATCATTCATTTCTCCTTGTTACTGATTGGCTGCTGCCAATGAGGTGCTTGTCTCAAGCAGATGCAGCCCTGCATCATCCAAGTTTACCACATGTAGCTATCTTGAGTATTTTGCTGAGTGTTGCTCTGAGTGTTGTGTTTTTTGCAGTGTGTTTCTTAAAGCCCTAAGATGCCACACAAATGTCCTGCATGTTCTAAAGCATCTGGCAATGAACCTAAGCACCAGAAAAAAAGGTTATGACACTCCAGGAAAAGTCCAACTCCTGAATATCCTCTGGAAAGGCAAAAGTTATGCCACAGTAGGTCACCATTATGATGTCAATGAAAGCACCAGACCCTACATAAAGAATAAGACAGGAGTACTGTAGCAGTAAGTTTCTGTGAAAGTGCCAAAAGGGTAATGCCAGTGAGAAATAAGCACATTATCAGAGTGGAATCTACCTTGGCATTGTGGATCACTAACTGCAAAAAGAAAAACATCCCTTGGACTGTAACATCATCTGCAAGAAAGTGCATAAATTATACCAGCAGTTCACTACAAGAGATGAAGCAGAAGGCACTGAAGAACTGCAACCAGAACCATTGACAGCACCAGAGCCTGAAGATTTTCAAGCTAGCAAAGGATAGTTTGACCATTTCCAAAAATGGTTTAATATAAAGTGTGTTTCCCTACATGAAGAGTAGAAGAAGCCTCCGAGAAATACTCTGAAACCTTCATGCAGATGAGAGAAAAGAAGAGGTACAAGCTGCAACAGGTTTTCAATATGTAAAGCCCCAGAATTTAAGGTACAGAAGGACAGTGATGCTCATTATGTGTGGCAATGATGTCTTCATGTTAAAACCAGGCCTCATCTACGAGTTCACGAACCCTAGGGCCCTCGAGAATAAGAATAAAGACCTGCTGTCTCTCCACTCGATGCACAACCCCAAGGCCTGAATTACAAAAATCCTAATTTTGAACTGGTTCCAACAATGTTTTATCCCTCAAGCCAAGGAATACCGCAACAACTTATGCATGGCATTCAAGATATTGCTTGTTATGGATTATGTTGGTGGCCATCATTTGTATTTGTATTATGGAGTCCAGGTTGAATTCCTCCCTATCAACACCACTTCTCTCATCCAGCCTATGGATCAAGGTGTGATTGGTGCCTTCATAGCACTTTACTCTCATAACTCCCTCCAACACCTTGTGGATGCAATAGACTTGGATGAGAATTTTACATTAAAGTGATCATAGTGAGTCTGTTAGTTACCCAAGCTGCTCTTAAGTACATGAAAAAAGAAACCTCTCAACAAATGATGCAAGAAGGTGTGGCCAGCTACAAGTGCTTCTCACCTGAAAAAATTTAGCACAAGGCTATTGACAAGGCAGTGAGACTGGTAAATGTACTTGTTAGCGAAGGTTTTGACATCATGCAAGATAAGATCAATAACTATCACTGTCCGCTATGAGCCCCTGATGGATGAGGATTTGCTGGAGTCTGCCAGTGAAGAGGAGGAGGAAGTGAAAGATCCAAAGCAAAAGGAGGAGGAGGAGATCCTGACACTTGAATGTCTGTCCAATCTTATGAGGAAAGTAAAGGAGTTGCAAGGGAAGACTGAAGCATGGGATCCCTATATGGTTCAATCTCTCCAATTTAAAAATGCCATCAATGCTGTCATGCAGACATATAAAAACCTCATCACCACCATGAAGAAACAGTGATAGTAACTTCCCATCACAATGTTCCTCAACCCCACCAAAAAAGTCTTGCTCAAAGATACAACTCCTCCTGAAACGTCTGAGGAGGTGCCACCTGAGGAGCACCTCTGCCATGTTGTGCAGTTATTATCTTCATCACAGCTAAACTGTCATCATCATCATCTTCAATCAACATCATTGATTATTGGCAAGTACCTGTACATTTTACCATATTTTTTATTAAATTATGATTATATATTTACTTTTATTTTTTTAATTATATTTTACATTATATTTTGACGTTTATAAGCATTTATAGGCATTTTTATGGACTATGTCCAATATTTGCAGGTTTTACTCTTTGTGCTGGCTCTAGAAAAGTAACCCCCATGAATAACGGAGGACAACTGTAATAAGGTTTAAAACAGAGGGAACTTATTTTGCTGAAAGTATATAAAATTTAATATACTTCTTTGAATTGAGAGAGAAGAAATAGTACACATTTAGTTCATAAAAAATGCAGAGAAAAAAACAATAATTTATTTTCTAAATAAGTTTCAATTTTTAAATTATATATATCTCATATAACAATACATAATTTTATATATCAACAAACAGTATTTAGAAAAATAGTATGACAAATTGGGGAAAGGTTTTTCTGAGGCATTTCATCTGTTAGGATTTCATCAGACTGAAATG